GGGAAAACATATAAGAACGGGGTTTTAATTTGGTTTGTATGTTATACTTGTGATTTAAATTTACTGTATTGAGTTATATATACTCATTCTTTATTATTTACAGATGATGTAACACTCAGCATTTGTTTTTATTTTTATTTTTATTTTTTTAAATATAGTTATTTATTTATTTATTTTATTTTAATTTAATGAAAAAAAAGGGGTAAACATTTGTTAAAGATTAAATTGAAAACAACTTTGAAAAAAATGGTGAAAATTTGGGTTATGGGAGTATTTTTGAAAGAAAAATTAGAAACCGGGAGTCAAACCACAATTTAAAAAAGTTACGCCACGTCAGACGCCCGGTCAGCAGCCCTGACCAACCAGGACGCGCCAAGTGGCAGAGGCACTGACGCTGGAGGCCACGCGGGGGGAGCCACATGGGAGATCCGCGTGCGCGCGATCGAACAGCTGAGGTCCGTTCCCGCATGCACGGACGATCCAGATTGAATCGCGCACGGACGGCCCATATTGAATCGTGATGAATAGCCCAGATTCACTCCCTATTTAATCGCGATCGGACAGTTCATATCAAAAGTGATGGACGGCCCAGATCAAAAGTGGATGGATATAAATAATCTCATCCGCACCCAAACCCTAACCCTAACCGCCAGAACACCTCGCCGGAAAAGACAACCCAACTGCTAGGGAGCCGACCGTCGTCACCCGCCGCCACACCGGAACCTTTTTTTACCACCAAAAAAGGTAATAAATTTTTTTTTCATGAAATTCAATTTTAAACACATCTATGGCCAAATCGGAGTGAAAAAATCGGCCAATTGACCGAAAAATACTACAAAAAATTTCACAAACTGCCTCTGATGAGGCCCTTTCTGATTTCTGTTTCCTGTAATTTTTCTACCGTTGTGATCACCGTTTTCTTCTCTACAAGTTGATCGAAGCGAAACACCCAACTGCATCGTGAGCTGGAGGAGCCGCTGCACCGGAGAGCCTCGCCGCTGGTGAGTTTCGATTTTTCGTATTTTTTTGGTCCACCGAAACCCTTTAGCGTGTGTGCTCGCAGGAATCGATGCAAAATTGACTGAATTCGACCGAAAACGGTCGACCCGAGGCGAACCGCCGTCATAGGCGACGGTGCCGTTGCTGGAGCACGGCTGAGCCGCCGTGCCGGATTTCTAAAATTTGCTAAGTAGGCTTTGGGACTGATTTTTTGGTTTATTGGGATATTTATAGGTACCTTAAGCGCGTTTCAGTTCCCGAAGAAAAATTTAAGGAACCTAAAGACCGCCCGTAGGCGCAGTAACTATTTAGCTTTTCGACGTTAATTCAAGTAAGGACCCCTTATCTTATTTCCTGTCATAAAATTGAAGTTTAAATAAATAATAATCTCGATGTTTTTTACAAATTAAATAGATGTGCATAATTAATTACAGATTGCTAATGGAGACCGAACCGGATATTGTTCTCTGTTGATTTCTGATGAATTTTTTTGCAGTCTAAAGCATGATGGTTTCTTGTTTATCTATTTTATGGTTGAAATGCATGTATTATTGACTTAC